ACGAAGAAGAGGGGGGTTAGACGAAGAAGAGGGGCTGTCTCTTATACACATCTAGATGTGTATAAGAGACAGGTGTGTGTGTGTGTGTGTGTTTCGCTTAGTCAGAATGCTGTGCTAAGGCGATCGACCCGGAACGATACCCCCTGGTCGTAAAAGCAGCAATCAACGGATGGCTAAGAGGCAAAGTAAAAGAGCAGATGGTTCGAATTCAAAATTGATTCACTGGACGGGTGGACAATCTTTGCACGCGTTGTCGTGATGCAGAGATGTCAGAAAGGGAAAAAACGGATCAACAGGAGCTAACGTGAGGGACTGATGTGGAAGGAGGGAGGAGGCGACGGAGGAGAAAGCGAGGAGTAGGAGGAGGAGGAGAGTGAGGAGGAGGGGGATTGGAAGGAGGGAAACTGTTATTAGGTCTGGAGATCGGTAAAGTTTTCATCAATAATTCAGTCATTGTCTTCTCTGCGGTTATCTCTTTCGGTCCATCAAGCGTTGCCGTTTCGGTGTCCCTCTTTTCTGCGTTCCTCCTGGAGTGGCGAAGTTTCGTCCATCATTCTATCCATGTGTGTGAAGAACCTGTTGTCTCCAAACAGCTGCCACGTGTCATGATGATCGAGTATCTGAGGATTGGCGACAACGTCCTCCGAGAATGGCTCCCATCATGGTTGTTGCCATGGGGAGGAGCTCTTTTCCCACTGAGGTCTATCGGCAGCGATATGTGTCAATGGGATTGCACCAGGATGAAAGGCTTGATTATGTGTGAGTGATGTGACAAGAGTACTGAAGGCCAGAAGAAACGGCAGGACAGAGGACGGCAAGGGGAAACCATGAGGTCGAAAAGGGGACGTTGGGATGGAGATGTGTGAACACTGCAATGAATCATGGGGCCACGGAAAAGATGCAACGAGGGGCATTGAGGGCGGAATTATTATCTAATGTGTCGGGATAGAAGTGTGAAGGGCGGGAGACTATGACAATGGTGATCCCCTTATTATCCGATGGTGGGGACAGAAGCATGAAGGGCTTCTTGTTACTCATCACACACCGATTCTTACTTGATGTGGCCATTATCTCTACGTATTCAAGCTCTCCGGCAGCACCCACCCTCCCACCCTGAATGTAGAGTTTTGTAAAAAAAAGAAAAAAAAAAAAACGGATTTTATCAGACATAGGCAAGTGTCAAAATGGCCCGAAAATGGAAAGTATAATTAAGTATTTAAATAAAATAAAATTGCGCTGGCTTTCTGACCCGCCTGGGTACCCCGGGGTGCTCCCCCTGGTAGTGTGGCCAGGCGGGTCTGGCCAGGCAGATCTGGAAGCGCATATGCAGATAGAAAACAATCCAAGCGCCTCAAAAAGCAAGCCAAGGAGGAATTAAGGAGGGATTTGCGAATGTCAAGCTGGGAAATGGGGAGAGAGCGATCATCGACTGGAACATGTTTTGAGATGGCAACAATGGCGCACCTTACCGGATATATGCGAGATGACTGAAATTAAATGCCAGCTCTGTTGGTGCCTAGTTTAGAATTTTCTCTGGTGCTTGTGGTCAGAGCTGTTACTCCAGGGAAGAGGAAAAGAAAAGAGTGGTTACCTCAGACATACCGGGCAGAAGTTGTGCAGAAATAGGAAATGTCTGGGAGTGGCGGGGAAGTCTACGAGTGACGCATTAGGACTGCCTCCAGTTGGCGGCAACTGCCCACAGATATCTGTTTTCCAGGAAAGTGGCTGCTAGAAGGTGCTGGTCTTGTGCAATCTGCAAGGGGGGCATCAAAGCCATGTGTGCCTCTGATCTCAGAGATGCATTGTACCATCCATAGAACTGGTGGTGGCAGGCAGGACATATTAGCCAGGGGGGTGGGCAGCACTAAAAAGGTTTCAATGTGCAACTTCCTTCTTCTTGCCTCCCATCCTTGTTTTCTGTCTTTCTTGATTTGCTACATAGATCTGCTCTTGGCTCGTAGCTATTTGCCAATATAAGGGAATGTTTGTGGGAATCTACAAATGAGAGTTAAACCCTAAAGATCTATTCTACAACAAATGCCTATCAAATGAATGCCTTGTCATGACTGTGAGTTGATGACTCATGCTTTTTCTGTTCTCCAATATACAATGGTTGATATCATGCTGTGGGTGCAGGGGGAGTCCAACATGCCTGGCAGTGACGAATCGTGGACGACAGAGATGCCTCCACTTGCTCATACTGAGCAGGATGAAGGGAATGGAGGTGGGGGAGAAGGAAATGAGATAAGAGGGAGACAGAAAAGTACAAATTCTGGACGGTTGATATCGCAGGAAGAGAGGGCATGTGGGAGAGTGAGCGCCGATGTTTATGTAGCATATGTTACAATGGCTCTTGGAGGGATGCACATTCCACTCCTCTTCCTTGTGCAGGTGAAAAACACAGCAACAACCCAGGCTTCTTCATCTTCTTGGCCTCCTTCGCACCAGTGGTTTTTACTTGTTTTTTTCCGGATAGTCTTTCAGCCAAGGGATGAGAGATTCTCCCTTGTCTTTCGGCTTCCTGTTGGTGTCATGTTTATTTGGTGAAATGTCCATCCCTGTTTGGATGCCCATGTTTGAATCTGAGTCTGGAACGGGTACCTTCTCGGGGGTGGGGGGAACTGGGAGTTCAGATTGGGACTTCACCATTTATGACTTCATCTGCGCTTCTCTTCTTTTTTCCAGCCGGGGTCTCCACGTTCTCTTTCTGAGGGGAGGCCTGCTGTTGTGGGTGCATTCTGCTTTGAGATGTCGTTTCTCTATGCTCTGTCTGGCTTTGCTGAGAAGACTGATGTCTTACTGTGTGGAAGGGAAGGTGTCAGTGCTCTGCTGCCTGATTGGTTCAAGATCCCACATCAGATCCTTGTGTTTCTTTTCTTCTTTAATCACCCGGGAGCAGTGTTGCACACCCCAACCGTTGGCGACCCTTGACTGGTCGGCACCTACCGGTCAGGGGTCGTGGGCACCCCACAAAAAAAAAAAAGAAAAAAAAAAAGGGTCCAGAACCCCTAAT